ATCGCCGGTTGTGTCAGTTCAAAACACAGAAAAAGAAGGAGGGGAAGGGGGGGGGTACTCTGAGAGAGGGTACTCTAAAGAGGGGGTACTCTATAGGAAAGGTATACTGTAGGGTGACACACAAAGATAGTAGATAGAAAAAAAAGACGCCCAAAGCCCTTCCACAACGAGAAGAGAAGTATGAACTACGAATAAGAAGCGTCTGAGGCAGAATACTAACAACAGGATAAGAATAAATCAAGACCGGTAAGGGGATAGAAGAGGATACGCATCGCACCCATTCCAGTTGAAATATACAGCCGGTTGTGTTGTTTGGACTTATGCTAGGCTTCTGAACAGTGTCAAAAAAATGAAAAACTTTACGATTATTTCGTGTGGAATAAGACATTAAGGATAAAAAAAAGAATATGCCACAAAAACAGTGTATCTTTAAGTATTATTTTCTATAAATATTCATCTTTAAGTTATTCTATGTATCTACGGACGTGTTTTTGCGACCTACCCCCCCCCCCTCCCTTTTATCTATTGGGCAGCGGGTTAGGGGAAAAGATCCATCGCACGCCTTGCTCAAATTCGTTTAAATACAAAACGTGCGGTTAGGGTACGGGATAGCACCTCCATCACCGACTTCAGATTGGTGGCGCTCGTGCCGTTGACCTCTTTGAGATACCACACCGGCCTGCTGTGGTAGCGTTGAATAAAACCGTGTTGAAGGCGGGGGTCATTCGCGGGGAACGTCGGGAAGGACGCGACCGCCAGGGCGCGGGCGGACCAGTCGTAGCGCAGGCCAATCCCCCACGTCTGCTCCGTCGAGTCGCGCCGGACGATCATCTCTCCGTCCGTGAAGTTCTCCAACACCGTCCCACCGTCGGGAAAAGTCAACGTCGGGGGGTTCAAGCGGGATTCTGGGGTTTTGGAAAGGTCGGCCGGGGCCACCACTTCGGGCCGTGCCTCGTTTTTCTTCTTCACAGCTGCGTTTTGACGGCGCTGCCGACGGGCCGTGGCCAAGGCGCGGTGGCGGGTTATGCGTTTTCGTGCGATAGATTGACGTGGGGTGGGGGACTGGACCGGTTTGGCCCTCAGCATAGTTTCCCGCAGCCCCCCCGAGGGGTCATTTATTTCTTCGTCGAGTTCGGAAGTGGGGCCTGCGTCGTTGGGGAGGAGCTCGTGATCGGCCTTCGCTGTCGCCACCGCGGGGTCGTCTTGTGATGCCGTAGAATCTGCCATCGGCGGCGTGAGAGGGTCCTCCTGGAGCTCAGAGGCGTCCGGTTCATCAGGAATTTCCGCCATTTCATCATCGAAGTGATCGTTTGCGATTTCTTTTTCCTCCGCGGAGGTGTCTTCAGGATTAGGTTCGGAAGCGTCATCCAATTCTGCTTCCTTGATAACCTCTTCGTCCGCTAGGACGTCAACCTCATTCTCGCAAAGTTCCTCCTCAGCTTCGGATGCATCGCACTCGAAATGCGCAGGGGCGGTTTCTTCTTCAAGGGTATTTACTTCAGGCGAATCTTGTGGATAAATGCAGGCTGGTTTGCCTTGGGAAAGCTCCTGGATCTGTTGTTGAAGTTGTAATATCGTCGCTTCAAGGTCCTGAATGCGCTGTTCATATTTTCGCCGCAGCGCCGCCTTTTTCTTCCTCGCTGAGGGATTTATTGTAAACCCCTCTCGGTCAGTTTTCACGGCCGGGTTCGGCTGTATGGCTGCATTTTTACCTTGAGCCTCTACAATCTCGGATTCCACCGATGAAGAAGGAAGAGTCTTCCCATTGACGTTCAACCCCGCGATGGTCGTTTCCAAATCTTGTGTAGACTTTCTAATGGGAGCATCTTCCGCTTCATATTTACCATCTTCCCCCACAAAAGCGCTCGTATTATTCTCTATGGGTTTTATATCCACCACCTTCGTCTTCCCCGCCGCGTGCGCCTTCACGGCGGCATATAATTCGCCCTTTCCCATCAAAGGGATCATCCTCACCTCGGCTGTGTTTGCTTTCTTTTTCACCATCAACCCGCTCAAGACAGTGGCGTCCTCGACAAACGCTTTTTTGAGGGGCTCCACTCCCCGGCGTTTCTTTCGCAATATTTTATTAGCGAAATGCTTTCCTACCCTTGCCAAGGACAACTCCGCAGCACCCTGAGAATCGTTAAATGTCGTGGTGGATGGTTTAGAAAGGTTATTGGAGGATTCACTTCTTCTAGAAGGTATTTCGGCCTCGTTTTTCGTCTCCATTGCGGGGGTGAACTTCTCGGATTCACCTCTAACCTTCTCCACCACCGCTGTTTTTTCTCCCGCAAGGGCTCCGCTGGGGATTTCATTTCACGCGACATAAGGCGTCGTACCTGTCCACTTTTTTTCCTATTTTCGTCTTTAAAAGACTTTTGTG